TGAAAAAAAGAAAAAAAATTTTTTTTTTAATTTTTATTTTATTTCTCTATATTTATTTTTAATTACAATTGTTTATTTATAGTTGCTTATTTATTTTATTGACAATTATTTATTTGTTTCGAAAAAACAGAATTAAAAATTAATAAATTAATTTAAAAAAAAAAAAAAAAATTTTTTTTTTTCCCTTCTGAAGAAAATTTATATTTTTGCCTGAAAAGCAAATTGAAAGTCAATTTTCTATTTTTCATAATAAACAAAATTCAAAATTAATTTTCTCATTTTCCCAAAAAATTAACAAATTTATTATTTTTCCTAAAAACCAAATTTGAATATTAATTTTCCTCTTTAAAAAAAAATTAAATATTAGTTTTTACCCCAAAAAAACCATTAAAAATTTATCTTCTTCTTCTTTTTAAAAAAAAAATAAATTAAAAATCTATTTTTTCAATTACAAAAAAGATAAAAAAACAACAATTTTTCAGTAGAAAAATATTAAGTATTATTGAAGGAAACAATAATTTGAAAATTAATTAAAAGTCAGTACAACTTGGCTGTTTGAAAAAAGAATAAAAAAAAAAAAATTGAAAAGAAAAAAAAAATTCTGAATAAATGATTATTATTTTACATGCGCAGAGGCGTCACTCGTGGAATATACGTCATTTTACTGTCAAGTGAACGTTACGCAAACAACGAACCGTAAATATGTAGACAACACAAAAACCCACAGACATTGTAAATTTTAAATACAAATAAATTCCTAGCGCTTATTTGACGATAAAATTCTATTTTCTTGCAGAAAAAAAAGAACTCAATTTCATTTGAATATTCGCGAAGAAAAATTTACTTTTTTTCGGCAATAATTATTTATTTTTTATTTTCATATTTAATAACTATTTCTTATAACAGATTAATTTTTTAATTTAAAAAATTTTTTTTTAATCTTTTTTTATTAATTTTTTTTTTATTTTAAGGGCATTTGAACCATGATGACGTCACAGATTTAAAGCTAATGCTTTGCACAAACTGTGACGTCATCAAGGTTCAAATCCCCTTAATTTTAATTTTTTTTTATTTTTTTATTTTTATTTTTTATAATTTATTTTTTTAAATTGATTTTCTACCAATATTTATCTTTTTTAATTATTATTTTTCTATAATTTCCACTTTTATATTTATTATTTATATTTAATTTTTTTTCTTTTAATAAAAAAATCGACGCTGGCGGGTATCGAACTCGCAACCTAAAGCATCGTAACCGATTACGTTAACCACTAGTCTACGCCACACATAATTATTTATTTTATTATTATTATTATTATTATTATTATTTTTATTATTACTATTATTATTAATATTATTATTAATATAATTATATGAATACTTTTTTCATTTGCAAAAAATTGAATAAAAATTTTTTTTACATTAATTAAACTTCCATTGAAAAACCCATTAAAATATCAATAATAATATTTAATTTAATATAAATGTTGATGATAATTTAAAGGAATAAATAATAATAATAATTTAAAGGAATAAATAATAATAATAATAATAATAATAATAATAATAATAATAATAATAATAATAATAGTTTTTATAAAAAATAAAATACTTATTGAGAAATTTTTTATGTAATTTGTTTCTAAAAGCAGAAATACCAACAAAAGATAAAAAGTTATCTCAAAAAATTTACTCTGATATAAAGGCAAATTTCCTTTTTTTTAAACTTTATACAAAATAAAAAATCTCGAATATATACACAAGAAAAAGCTTTAAAATATTAAGAGAGGAAAACTTTCGTTTCGAATTTACAAAAAAAAAAAATGTATTTCAATACCTTTTGATGCTGACTATTTTATTTTCTTCAAAAAAAAAAAAAAAATGCAGCGTCAGTTTCACAAAGGATTGCGCACAATGAATTTCCTGGTTTTAATTCAGAAAAAAATAAAGTTTCGTTTTATTAAAATATATATATAAGTGAAAACATATTTTTTCTAAATAAACAAATTTTAATTAAAGAAGAAATTTTTTCATTTAAATTAACTATTTTTTTTATATCATTATTTTATTTAATTAGACTTTATTTTTTAAAGAAATTGACATATTTTTATATTTGAAAATTGAATAAATAATAATAAATAAGAAAAAAAATAAAAATAATAATAAATAAGAAAAAAATAATAATAATAATAAATAAGAATAAATTTTTGAGAAAAAAAAGTTAGAAAAAGAAAAAAATAAAAAAAAAATTTTTTAATTATTAAAAAATGATGAGAGAATAAAGCAATAAAAAATTTTAATTGAACAATAATATTATCTAAGTGTTTGTATAAAACTGGGGAGAAAAAATAGTCGAGTCTCCAAATCTTTAGAATCTGGGAAATAAAAAAAGATCGTTATCGCGTAACGCTTAGATGAATCAATTAATCACTCATAATATTTGTTCAGGGGAAAAAAATCATAAAAAAAATATCTCAATTATGAATAAAATTAATTTTTTTTCTTAACATTTTTTTTATTCACTTTTTGTTATTTTTTCTATTTATATATATTTTATTTACTACAAATTTAAATAACAATTCTAATAATAATAATAATAATAATAATAATAATAATAATATTAAATTATTTCGTAACAAATAAACAAATATCAAATAAAATGAATAATTTTAGTAAATTTTTGCAAAAAAATAATTATTCGTTATTATATTTTTTTATTTGTCATTTGTTATACTGTTAATTAAAATTTGTAATAAATAAAAAAATCAAAAATAACAAAAAGAGTGAATAAAAAAAAATTATGGATAGAAAAAACTATTTCATTTATTTATTTCACAAAAGGGAAACAAATAATCAAAAATTGTTTATAAAGTAATTAAAAAAAATAATTAAGTAAAATAATTCGCAGAAATATAATGGTTCACTCTTGAATTTTCATTAGTTGAAAAAAAAATTCGTTAATTTTGACATTTGCATGACTTGCGCTCATGTAAACTTCTCAGGTGGTACCACCTCGTGAATTAATTGTCAAATAATTCCCAACAAAATGCAAGTTTCCTGTCAAAATTGACACAATTCGATAGTTTTCGATGGCAAGAGTTATTATTTGTAGAAAAAGAATATAAATATTCTCAAAAAATCGATGTTTCAATCAAGAAAAAGTTGAAGGTAAAAAGTGAGGTTATGTTCCTAGTAAAGTGAGAAATATTGTTCTCTACTGCGTTTATTACTTATTTAAAATACGTTATTATAAACAAATATATAATTATTATTATTATATTTTTATAATAATAATAAAAATAATGATAATAATAATAATAATAATAATAATAATAATAATAATAATAATAATAATAATAATAAAAATATTGATAATAATAATAATAATATTTTCGTCATTGAAAAAAGTTAAAAAAAATAAAGAAAAATTTAATAGATAAAGAAGAGTGTAAAAGTAGGAGAGAAAAAGAAAATAATGGAAAATTCCATAGAAGAGAGAAAAATAGGAAAAAGGGACTCGTGCGAAGAAAATAAAAAAAGGAACAGCTGCAAATCAAAAATTGAATAGCGAGCGTGAAACCTTTTTCCAAGAATGAAACACCACCATGGGCACACAGTGACAGCTGGTCCATCCTCAACAACATCACTTTCAAGATCATCAGTCGCAGAGAAAAATCTTTATCTCTCTTTCTCTTAAATATTTTAATGAATGTTTTTCCCCACCGTTAATATTTCTTTCATCAATTAATTAAAATACATAAAAAAATTTTTTTTTTATTTCAAATTTTATTTAATTATTATTGTTTGTATTTATATTTTTATTTATATTAATTTTACTAAATAATTTATTACTAAAATAATTTTTATTTATTTCTTTTATTTTCTTTCATTTTTTATTTATTTTATTTTAATTTAAATGTTACTTCTGTTGTAATATTATAATTATTATTTCTACTTTTCTTTTTATTAATATTACTGTTGTTATTTACATTTTTTTAATTTAATATATTGAATAAAAATATGTGGCGTAGGTTAGTGGTTAGCGTAAAGGTTTACGATGTCGCAGGTTTGGAGTTCGATTCCCGCGAGGGACGATTATTTTTATTTTAAAAAATAAATAGATAGTAATAAAAAAAAATATAAATAATCATATTAAGACTGAATATATTGAATGAAAAAGTTTTTGTACGATTAATTTTACGAGGCCTTTAATCTGACAAAATATTTAATAACGGACGTAAAATTATTTGAACAAAAATTATTTTATTTATTTTTGTTAGATATTTCAATATCTAAATATTATTGTTGTATACTATGATAATCATAAGATTATGATTATTTTTATTATTATTTTATATTTAATTCAATTTATTTAAATAAAAAAGTTAATGAAGTAAAATGATTAATTTTAATTGAGTTTTTAAATATTCTTAATAATAACAATTTATTATAATAATGATACATTAGTTTATAAATAATACAACAGTATTTTAATAATTTATTTATTTATTATCTTTTTTAAAATTTATTGACAGTTTTTTTTTAAGAATTTTTTTTTACAAAATCTGTCAGTTTTAAGTTTTATTTCATTAACAATTGTTAATTTTAGGATTTAAATTGAATTTCAATTTTATTTCAGGATTTAAATTAAATTTTAATTAAATTTCAGAATTAAAATTAAATTTTTATTTAATTTAAGCATTTTTAATTAAATTTTAATTTAATTTAGACACTTCAATTAAATTTTAATTTTTCCAGGCTGAATACGAGATTTTTGAAAAAAAATAATATGTAATAGCTAAATAGTAAAAGTAGTAATTTTTTTCAATCTTTCGTTATTAAAAAACATACCGATAGTCGAATGCCATTTCCACGATTGAATGTAGCTCTCTCGAGCGGTTGGTGGGCGGATGGGTGATTCCCCATTTTGCCTTCTTCTCTCTCGTTTCACTTTTTTTTTTTTTTAATTTCTTTTTCACACTACTCGATATTTTGAACTGATGTTTTTCGATTGGTCAGTATGTAAAAAGTTACCGAACGAGACGCGGCTTATAGCCGAAGACACAACGGTCTCTCTTTCAAAAGCAGGGTTCACCAGACACGATTGTAGTTGTAAAACCATTGAGCGACCTTCCTGTTTGCAGGTGTGGCCTTTTTTTCCAACCACAATATCCGGTTTGCACTTGCACTAATATTTATTTATTTAAAAAAAAATCTTTAAAAAACACTACACACTTCCACTGTTATATTAATTTATCAAAAAAAAAATAAATTTTTTCCACTTCTCTTTTGCTTTTCAAAATTAACAAAACAATAACAAACAAAAAAAAAATGGTCAATTAGAATCAAAAAGTGAAACACGCGCTTTCACGTCCTTCGCATTCTCGAGTTGTGTGCACCTTTGGATACATCAAATAATAATAATAATAATTTTCAAGCCGGCGGCATCAAGAATATTGTGTAGGCTTCCCCGATCGACACCAATCTCCTTTATGACACACACAACATTTCAACATCGCACACCTATTCTCGTTGAATAGAAGGGTTTCTTCACATTCTGTAAATAAAAAGGGGTTTCACGTTAGTGGATTTCTTTTTTTTTTGAATGGGGAGGAAATTTTTTTCAGTTAAGAAAACTTGTGGATATGTAACCGAGGAACGACTAAAAAAATAAAAAATTAGTTTTAGTTCCAAATTTTACAAATAGTGGATGAGAACTGTCCTTTCTAGAAGGTAATTGTTCTTTGTTTGGTGAATTTACGCGGTGGAGTGATAGAAACTTGTATTTTTGGTCTATAGAATCTTGGTGCGCATGTTTTGAAGTCGTAGAATCATTCTGCGCATTTCTAGATGCGATAGGATCCTACTGCGCATCCTTGGAGTTCATAGAAGCTTAGTGCGCATCTTTAGAAGCGAAAGAATCTTACTGCGCACGCCTAGAGGTCATAGAAGCCTAGTGCGCATGTCTAGGTGCGAAAGAATCTTACTGCGCATCCTTAGAGTTCATAGAGGCTTAGTGCGCATGTTTAGAAGCGAAAGAATCTTACTGCGCATCCTTGGAGTTCATAGAAGCTTATTGCGCATCTTTAGAAGCGAAAGAATCTTACTGCGCACGCCTGGAGGTCATAGAAGCTTAGTGCGCATGTCTAGATGCGAAAGAATCTTACTGCGCATCCTTGAGGTTCATAGAGGCTTAGTGCGCATGTTTAGAAGCGAAAGAATCTTACTGCGCACCCTTGGGAGTCATAGAAGCTTAGTGCGCAGATTTTTGACCCATAGGACCCTACTGCGCAAGACCGGAAGCCGTATGTCAATAAGGGGCATATTTTAGATCAATAGAACTGTACTGCGCAAATCCTAATGTCATAGAACTTTATTGCGCAGTTTTTGAGTCTATATCAGAGTAACTGCGCAAGCCCTTATATCATAGAACTCTACTGCGTAGTTTTTTGGTGCTATAGAACTTTACTGCGCAAGTCTTGATGCCATTGAACTTTACTGCGCAAGTTTTGATGCCATAAACCCCTACTGCGCATGTTTTGATGTCATCGAATTCTACTGCGCATGTCTTGAACCCTACTGCTCTAGAATTTATTTACGTAACTAAAAAATACCCCCAAAAAAACCCTAATAAACTACTCGCAATAAAATTCGGCCGCCGAAAATTTTCCACCATTTAAAATTGAAATATCTCGAAAAGTTTCGAGAAACTTTCAAATTTTTTAAAGAAAAATAACAGAAAATGAAAATTGCAATAATAACAAAAAATTCCAATGTTTTTTTTCAAATTAAACGAAACAATTCTATCCAATTTCAGTGCGGACTACTTTTTTTTTATATATAAAAACCCTACTGCGTATTTTTATCCACGTGAATATTTTTCATGACCAATGAAGAAGCTTCAGAATTTATTTATCTAACTAAAATAATTCTTTGCGCAGAAAAAAATTCCACAGAATTCCACTGCGCAAATACAAATTACTCGCAATTCAATTCGGCCGCCGAAAATTTTCCATCATTTAAAATTGAAATATCTCCAAGAGTTTTTAATTTAGAGAAAAACTTTCTTAACAAAAGTTGTAGAGCTTGAAAAAACCTTTAAATATCACCCACTTATTTTGAATATTATGAAAAAATATTAATTAATTTAAATATAAATAAAAATTAGAAAATAATTGTAAATCCTAAAATTGATTACTTCTTAAAAATATCGCTTTGGGAAACATATCCAAAAGTGAAGGAGAGAGGAGGGGGGGGGAGAATTGAAATTTTCTGCCAAGGAACAAAAAATTTTTTTTCCAATTGCGCTTAGAATATTTTTTATTTAATAATAAATTATTTAATAATAATTAACACATAATTGTAAATAAATAAAATAATAAAAAATAGTGAATAATTTATTATTATTTTATTCATTAATTATTATTTGTAAGTATTTATTATTATTATTTATTATAAACAAATTTTATTTGTTTTTTTAACAAATTAAAAAATTGTTACTTTATTTTTATTTGTTTATTTAATTATATTGTTTGAATGAATTCTTTTGTTTATTTGTTTAAAAAAAACTAATTTTAATATTTTTTTTCTTTATTTTGTGTGGAAAAATTCAAGAGGCAATTTTCAAGAATGAAAAGGTGATAAATTCCTGTAATTTAATAACAATAATGTTCTAATTACCGTTGTCATGAAATCTGATCTTGCAATGAAAGATAATAATTTTATAATCTTATCAGAATTTAATGAAAATCTATTTATTATTTGTATATATATATTATTTTTCTAAGTGATATTTTTGAAATAAAATTTGAAATAGAATTCAATGGGAAAAGAAAGTAGAAAATAAATAAAGTAAAATAAAAATATTTAATGTAAAATAATGCAAAAAATAAAATATAAATAAAATAGTGCAAAAAATAAAACAAAAATAAAATATTGTAAAGAATAAAGCAAAAGTAAAAAAAATAAAGAAACTAAAATAAAAAAATTAAGTGAAAAATAAAGAAAAACAGGACAATGCAGAAACATAAAAATTAAATTTGGTAAAGTTTTTAAGAAATGTGGCAGAAAATTTCAGTGTGAATTTTTTTATATTAAAAATTTCTTATTCGAAAAAAATTTCCTTTGTAAATTCACATTGGTTGTAATTTTGCTCCATACGGAAGAAATCCTCACCATTATTAGTGCACTCTTTGTTATCCACAATGATCCAAAAAAAAAGAAGAGTAAACAAAAATACAACAAAACACTGCAAGATGCTTGAGATTTTCGATCTCAACCCAAAAAAAAACTGATGCACTAATTTTTATTTCCCCCAAAGAAGAATTTATATCCAAAACACCACAGCGAAGCACCACAACACAATAATCCTCTTTTCAATGCAACAATCACTAAGAAAATTTTTCCTTTCCTTCAATTTTTTTTTTCCTTTTGGCTCACAATAATAAACCAAAAATTAAAAAAAAAATTATTATTTTTGATCAGCAGAGCCGGCCGGCAGCTCGCTGGAAGCACTTTTGCTTCTTCCCTTCTCGTAGCTCGAGCACAAACTGGTCATACAGCTTGTGGCAAACCTGACGTCATTTGCTTTTGCCTATAGAGTGGGATGTCCAACTGGTCGTGGACTTGCTGTATCATATATCCCTCTCCGCAAAGCACACTCATAACTGAGGCCTTTTCTCTCTTCCAAGTCCCAAGTTCTTTTTTTCTCTCCTCGCGTTGAAAAAAAAATAATAAATCCTCTTCGATATATTCCTTTCTTCAAAGATCTTCTTTGTATCCTGTTATCTGCTCAAGTGTTCATTTACTTTTGTGGATATTTAAACAAAGAAAAACGTGTTTTTTTTGGGGGGGGGAAATGTTTTCCCGTTTATCATCTTCCCAAGGGAGATGATGAAACAAAATTAAAATTAGTCTTGCCCTCGAAATATTTACAAGCACCACGAAAAATTGTTCCTGTTCGTTCGTTACGGAAACACATGTTCGTTGCCATTTGGTTATTTTTTGGTAATTTTTAATCAAACCTGGTGGATTTTCTCCCTATTCGAATGCACCTAATGGTAGTAAAAGTCCGAAACTATTTAAAAATACCAGCTCTTTGAAAATCTTTGTTTACTCTCCAATGTCGATTTGTACCATCATCTGTTATTTTAGTAGATGTTGTTATTTTTTGGGTAAATTTTAACTAAACCTGATGGATTGTCCCCCGAGTTGTATGCACCAACTGACAGTAAAAGTGACGATTTATTCCAAATTTCCGATTTGGTGGTAAAAAACAGAAAATTCAGTTTATTCACTATTTCCCGCTAGTCAACGGAAAAATAGTTAACGTTTCTTGTCAACCGGTTATTTATTCGTAAAATTTCAATCAAACTTGTTGCATTCCCTTCCATTTGCTATGCATCAACTTGCACTGAAAGTTTAAAAATTCCCGTTTTGTTTAAAAAAGAAATTCTTAAATGAACCGGTTTATTCACTATTATCCGTTTGGAAAACACTGTTTTCTTTATCAATTTGGCATTTAATGGTGAATTTCGAATTCAAACTTGTTGCATTCGCTTCTGGTTGCAGGTCTCCAACTGGTACTGAAACTCCCCTTAAGTTTAACAACCCTAAATTGACAAAAATTACCGTTTTCCTCACTATTTTCTTTTGGAAAAAATTTTTTTCTTCTTGAATTTTTCTTTTGGTTACTACTAATATTTTCTATCAAATGTTGTATTCTCTTCTTCTTGTCACGAGGCAACTGGTACTAAAATTTGGATTTGTTAAAAAATTCCCTATTTGATGAAAAAAAATTATTTAGTTCATGGTTTCATTCACTAATGTTCGTTACAGAATCATAAAGTGCTTCTAAAACAGTAACTTTTGGGTAAATTTCAACCGGACCTGGTGGATTTACTTCCTGTTCGAATGCAGGATCTGCTGCAAAAAGTCCCAAAGTGTTTAAAAATACCAGTTCTTTGAAAATATTTGTTTATTTACTGAAAAATATCCGATTTTCACTATTATCCGTTAGGGAAACACAAAGTGCTTGTAGAACAGTTACTTTTGGGTTAATTTCAACCGGACCTGGTGGATTTTCTTCCGGTTCGAATGCAGGATCTGCTGTAAAAAATCCGAAAGTGGTAAAAAATCTCGAATC